GAGAAGATAGTGATTTTTGCAGGAGGTGGGCCCCACATTTTTTTTTTTGTTGGCTGAAATCTGACGTGTTTTAATGACATGGTATTGATCTGTAATAATATTTTGACATGTCATCATTTTTCATTAGTTAACTGGACACATCATTGAATCTTTAACGGAAGGACCAAATCAGGATAAAAATGGTAAACAGTAGGGACCAAATCAAGGATTTTTTTTAGTTCAGGGATCAAATCGGGGGTTCGTATAATAGTTGAGGGACCAAAAAAAAGTTTTAACCAAGTATGTATTCCAGTGTGAAAGAACAAAAGTTTCACGTTGAAAAGAATAAGAGTGTGAAGAGTGGTTTAAATATGTCAAGACTTATGTAATTATTACACTAATTGTTTGATTACAATGTAGTGTCAAAACATGTGATGATCCATTTAATGTCTCCTTGCTAGGCCAAATGTCTCCCCAACAATTTATGAGTTTTTCAAGTTTAAGGTTACAATTATTAGAACAAGAACTTCATCTTCCAGTTATTTCACAGACATTTAGATGCCCCATATACATAAAGAAATCCTTAATAGGTTAAGTAATTTAATTTACTCCTTGGGCTAATAATCCATCAAAATTTGGAAATGGCTTTCGACAACTAGTATTTGATAGTTGACAGAATTCAGAGAAGGAAAAAGGCATGATTAAATATGTTACAAGTAACAACAGAAGCAAATATATGTATATTGCGCCTGCAATAATATAGGCAAAACATATAATGATGATAAAGCCAAACTGACCTGCTCCAATAGAATATATTGAATACCATAACGCAAGTCAGAAGCCACATGTAAATTTGGAATATGAAGAAGAGTGGCTTTGGGAATTGAAGTAATCCTTTGTGAAAGCTAAAATTTATATTTAAGATTATGATTCGCTTTGTGTGTAAAAGAAAAGAGAGTACACACTCTAATTAAGGTTTTCTATTTTACAGTTTGAATTATATTAAATTGTAAAATTAAGGCCTTTAGATGGGGGAGGAGGGTCCAATATTAAAAAGTCCTTCCCAATTTAAAGATTATTATTTTGCAGTTCGATATATTTTGGATTGTAAAATAATTTTTCATTCTAATAAAAAAAAGTACTCTAATTAAAAAGAAAGTACAGTTGAATCCAATTGATAATTATCAAGTAGCATTTGTTTTCTGTTTTATCAAAAAAAAAAAAAATGTTTTCTGAATATTCTCTCTCTCTCTCTGTTTTTTTTTTTTGGCCTTAAATTCTCTCTCTCTCTCTCTTTAAAATGCCATAAACAACAGTCAATTTAATTTTGGTTGCTAAGCAATGTGGCAACTTTGCATAGTTCATATCCAACTTATGAGTGCACCATTCAGACTTGATAAGGAATTAAGAAAGCAACCTCATATAGTTCCATAAATAAAGAAATGTACCTTTATTTTACAAGTAATTTTAAGAAGGCAACATTCGTTTTCTAGAAAAATATCGTCTCCTTAATACCATAAAACAACACATGAATTTAAAGGCTTTGTATGAATTTAATACTACATAATACAAGTTGCGCATGAGTTCAGGAAATAGAAAAGATCTGCCTTTTTCTTTTCAATAGAAAGAAGGCATCAATTTTAGTTAGTGAGGTAATATTCTAGGCACCAAGCAATTTGACAACTTCACGTCCAACTTATGAGTAAACCATTCAGACCTGAAAGGAACTAAGCAAGCAGCCTCAATATACCTCCATGCATGTTTACAAGAGATGTACCTTTATCAAACAAGTGTAGGGATGATGGAAGTATAAGACCAACTCACCATCAAATTTCACTTGGAAAGGATAGGAACCGCAATTTCTTTAATCTCATTTTCGGAATCACGTTGACTCTGCAAACATAACAACAACACAATACTGAAGGTGAAAGGAAAAATTGCAGCAAAAATTTTCCTTTTCAAAATTATGGTCTATCAAGCATTCATGCATACCTTTCTAGTTTTTTTTGTTATTTTAGAGGCTCTAAATGAAGATTTGTGTAATAAAGGAAAAGAGAAATAGATAGAACTTAAAAGAAGGAAAACCTAAGGAGATCTTTTGAATTAATGCATACCTTTTGCGTGAAATGTAGTTGTATGGTCGAGTTTAGGTTGCCATCCCAAAAGCCTTCATCTTCATCTGCAGTCAATTTTACTTTCTGCAGTTTTGGTGTTCTTGTTTCATCCATAGAGAAAGTCTGCATCCTTGGACAATCCATCAAAATCACCTCTTCCAAAAATGGGAACTCAAACTTGCATTTAACAGAGCAAAAGCTTGAAAATCTAGGTAGACCACAAAGTTGCAAATACTTGAGTTTGCTAAAGACAATCCCATCCTTCATATCATCCTCCAAGCATGTGACAGTTTCCAACAAAGGTAGCGGAGTGGCCTTTTGAGCTTGTGATTGGCTAACACCAGGTTCTCGAGACTCAAGTATCTCTTCAAGCAAATCACAGTTCCATATTCGGAGCTTGTCTAGTCTCTGAAGCCTTCCCACCATACTAAATGGGAAAATATTCATTAACTTTTCACATGAAACCACACTCACCAAAGTTAGGTGGCAAAAAGAATCTACTTCGAGTTGTTCGTTCCATATCTTATTCAAGCTCTTCACATGTTCTATTACCAAACGCTCTAATTTGGGGAACGTCACCTAGAGATTTACACAATTCAATTAAAATTAAACATAATCACAAATGTGATGGGATGAAAAATATTGGAATCTAATTTTTTTTTTAAGTGTAAAACTTTATGAGGACGAGAAAATAATAATAGCATTATAAGACATTAAAAAGTAAAAAATAAAGGAAAAAAAAAAGAGAAATCACCTTTGCGTCAAAGAGAGAAAGTGTACAAGTGTTTTTGACATTTTTAGAACTGGCTATCATGTCTCCAAAAATAAAGCTAGAGATGAAACTCTTCAGCACAGGGCACTTGCTTATCTTAAGTTTCCAAAGGCATGGTAATTCCAAGTAATTTCCAAAACAAAATCTTTTGAGTTTTGGAAGGTCTTGGAGTAGTAGGAACTCTAGGTTAGGAAAGAAAATCTTGCAAATCGTTTCCTCATCCATTGATTCTTCCACAAGAATTACCTCTTCCATCATATTACAATCCCCAATCTTGAGCCAATTCAATCTTTCAAAACTCTTAACCATGGAGGATGTCAATAGATATTTCAAATTATCACAACCCTCCACACACAACTCTCTTAAATTTTGGACATAAGAAGAGATTCTTGAAATCGAATTATCCAAAATGTGTTGAATGTTATTTGAAGATAGACTCAAAAACTCCAAGTTGGGAGTCTCCACCTGCAAAGATTCTCAGTTAGTTTGTTAATGTTAATACATGACATTGTAGGAAGATAACTCTATAACATTTGCTTAATGTTAATTGAAGAAATTTTAATAACTGCAAGTTGAGAAAGATAACCTAATAGAATTTTCATCAAAAAGTTTTTTATTTTTTTTTTTAAATTGTTTAAACTAAAAACACTACAAGGATAATCCCAAACCAAAAACATGAAAACAACATGCAATTATGTGAAGTACATCGATCATTTGAGTAGAAAATAGTGAACTCTTTTTGGTCTTAATGTTATTTGGGTCAATGCGGGCAAAAAAGAAAAAAAAAATTATTTGGATCAATAATCCTATTTTTAAACTTGAGTAACTTCACATTTTAAGTGGTTGTTCTGGCCAGGAGTCTTTGTTTTCTAATTGTGTATTAAGTGAACTTGTTGAAGGAGATTCATTCATGAAGTTAAAGAAGTGGAGATGGCAACACTGACATACAAAAAGCAAAGATAAATATATCGTAAAATCTTAATTACAATAAATGAATATAAAAAACTAACCATGTTGCTGTAAAAATAAAGAAAAATGGAAAAGAAGAAAAGAAACTGACCTTGCTGCTAAAGAGGTATTGGGATTCCTCTTTGTCATGCTCTTCTGAGGATGTGGAAGCAGCACATGTGACCATCTTTGGGCAGTCCTTTACAATAAAATCATTTAATCTTGGAAGCTCAAGACTATGACTTCCCACATAGAAACTTGTCAAATCTAAACAAGACTCTAGATTGATCAACCAAAGATGTGGAAATTCCATTTTATTTTCTGCTCCTTCTCCCATTATCACTTGTTCCATTGTCCCACAGTTTTTTACTATTAATCGAAAGAGTTGCACAAGGCCCATGGCCATGGAATGGGTTAAGAGGTACCTGAACTTGCTACAATTACAAATTTCCAGCACTTGAAGCTGTCTGAAATCTAAGAGTTCATGAGGATTCGTGATATGCCATGTTTCCATGAACTTTGGAAAATTTGATAGCATCAAAAGTTGTAACTTAGCAAATCCAACCTGCACAAGTGCAAAACGGCAGGTTAGTTTTATATATATATATATATAACACAATCCAAAAATAAACCAAACAATTTTTTATAAAAAGAATGATTGGCTTCAAATATTTAGAAATTGATTCATACCTCTTCCATGTACATTCTTTGTATGGTGGTATTAAGGTCACCTTCCCAACGGCACTTGTTCTCTTCTTCAATTAATACTCTCTGTAGCAATGGTGTATTTAGGTCTCCCTCACTAAAGATCTTCAACTTGGGGCATTGATTCATGGTTACCTCTTCTAAACATGGGAATTTGAAGGTGAAATTTTTTGAACAAAAGCTTTCTAATCTTGGCAACCGTTGAAGTCTCAAAAATTTTAGTTTAGTAAAAGTGATCACGATAAAATCTTGCATTCCATCTCCTTCATTTCCAACTATATCAGTTAACATGTAGCATCTCTCTACAGTCATACTTTTTAGCTGCACCAGACTTTGCGCTATTGAGATTGAAACCAAATTTATCATCCCTTTGCAATTTATTACACTCAAAGTGGTGAGATTCTGGAAAGATGAAATTGAATTTGATAATATAATCAAACTATCACATCTGAGTATATCAAGAGTTTCAAGATTTTGAAGACCAGTTGTTGAGTCATGGCTCCATATATGCTTCAAATATGGAAGGAATTGTAGTTTTAATGTTTTAATCCTTGAGAGTGTCTCAATCTCAATGTGTTTCTCTTGTTCTTCAACTTCTCCTTTTGAAGGGAACAACTCTTTAAAATTACAGTATGTCACAACAAGATTTTCTAGATGGCAAAACCTTCTTAGGAATCCAACAGGTAAAACATCTAGTTCATCATCGAGATAGCCCTGAATTTGAAGAACTTTGATATTGAAAAGAATGTCTTGTTTAGACTCATGTTCACATATCATTGCAATGTCATGTCTTGCTAATGATAGTTTTTCCAATTGATGGATGATCTGGAAAGAAATAAAATTTAATTAAATCACCTATTATGATTTTATATATAAAAAAGGGAAAAAATTATTAAAAATATTGTGTGTTTTTTCACATGGAAACCAATTACACTTTCCTTACTAATTGAATCGAAAAATGTTGTATAGTATATTTTTGGGTGGAATGAACGTCATGACCCTACCCTTAATTGTATAGTTCATAAGTTTCTATTTTTAATTGTCAGAATTACTTGCATAAAAACAGAGTTTCGGGTTTGCATCTCAATTTTCAGAAATTTTTATAATGGAATACAGCTGTCAAGTCTATTTAGGGTGGCAATGACATATGAAGACATCCAAACACTTTACATTTGCATGTCAACGTTAAGCACTCGTATTTGCATAATTTCTAAACTAGAAACCGAAGGAAGAGAAAAGGGCTTCTAGCTATCTATTTTGGGAGACTATTGGTGTTTGATATCTGTTTCGTCAGACCATGATTATCATAGTTTTTGCTATGTGCTTTATGCTATTGTTTAAGTTTATGGAGAGTTTAGAACCTATGCTAATTGTTAGTTAATTGTTTGGGCTCTAAGTTGAGCAAGTTTAATTGAACCGCTACATGGTAGGGAAGCTATGGTTGGCCTTGATTAATGTGAATTGCACCACAGATCATTAATTGCACTCCATAGACTCTGTGATTGTTTGTTTCTCTGAATTGTTTGGTAATCTAGTTTTATTTGTTATGTTTGAAGTTAATGATTTAGTATGGAATTTATGAAGAACCTATTTAAGAGATTTGATCTATATGGTTAAGCCATGCCTGCAACCTTCATGTTCTATCGTATTTGGATTTTGGTTATAAGTTTTAACATGGATTATTTGATTTTTCTTGTCAATTTGACTAAGAGCTTACGTACAGTTTTAGGTTATAACTTATAGATGCGTATTGAGCTTCATAGATCATGGTTGTTTTTCCAACCATTTCAAGTTAACAAGTATGGCTAGCATTTATGCAAGTCTGAAAATTCCTATGATTTATGCAGAAAAGCTTTCTCAAGCTTGTAAGTACCAATCCGGTGTATGGCTCAATTTTTTATTCTTTGTAAATATTATCTTGAAATGGATTTCCTACTAAATACCTATATAAATACGCTAGACTTTAAAATAAGCTATGCCTTTTACTTATTGACGGTGTTCGACAGTTTAAAACGTAAATTGTTTTAAAAATAAATTCTTCTTTATAAATTTAAAAATTTGTTGGAATGAAATTTAGAAATTGACTTTTAAAGTGGTTATTAAAATAGTTTTGAAAAAACTACACATTTAAGTTTTTTTCAAAACTTATTCAGAAACTACTTTAAAAGTCAAAATTTGAATTAATAAATTTTTAAATTTGTGAGAGAAGAAAGCTTTGTCAAATACTCATCTTTGAGCTTATTACTTCTTCCTTACTAGGTTTGTAAAGCTTAACATTTAGTTCACTTATCTGCTAGATGAGATTATGCTTTCAAGTTATAAAGAGTTCTTGTTTTTAATTAGATTTCTAACCATAATAATAATTGGTTTGCTCTAAAAAATTCAAAAGCTAGAGCCAACACTGTCTCCCTTCATGATTCACTAAGCTGCTTGTTTTTCTTAATCTACAGATCAAGATTTTCTTTACAATGGTTTGATAGCCATAATCAAAGTGTTTTGAACTATGTTTTTCTTAAATGCATACAAGCAAATTTCCATTGATTTTGAAGTTTAGTTCTTGTTTGGATCCACATTTGGATACTCCTAGGATGCTGCTGGTTTGGGTTTGGGTCATGACAATGCATTAGTTGTATCACATGCAAAATACCTTAAAATTTAATAGAAAGATTCCAAAACAACAATGACAAAGTAAAAGAAATACCCAGAATTATCTTTAATTAGTTAGTCACCCAAACAACGTTTCATAAAAGAAAAAAGAAAAAATGAAAAAACCCACTCAACTCTCACTAAAGCAAGTTACTATTTCTTTCCAATATAATATGAGATTCAAGTTTTACAAGGCGCATTATACATTAAAAGTGTAGTTTGTGTTATGAATTTACTTAAATATCCCTAATAAAATTAATTCTTATACTATTTTATTAAAGGTATTTAAATAAATTTATAGAGTTGACTACTTTATTAATGTACAGTACACCTTGTAAAATACTTTTTTTTTTTATAGAATATCATTAATTATGTATGGTGATTACTTATTATACGATCTAAATTTGTAGTAAACGTGTTCTCTTATTATTTTATTTGGTGAGAGGCTCTAATTTTACAATGGAAAGTTATAATATGGATCATACCTTTTTTATGGAGAAAAGTGGCAATCGTACAGGGAAGTCAAGTTGCCCATGCCCGTCTGTTCTCTTTGCTTGATTGAAATGGGAAAAACAAAACTCTTTTAACATTGGCCACACTGTTGTGTGCTTCCCTGGGTAGAAACATTGGAGTCTTGGTAGCGCCTCAAGCTTAAGACTTGATACTCGAGGAAATTGAAAGTTGACAATTGCTTCTACTCCTTGTTCTCCTATTGTGACAATTTCCTCCACCCCACACCGGTATAAATGTAGCTTTTGAAGTTGCAAAAGGCTTTTGCCTATTGAAGTTGGAAACAAAATTTTGAGACTCTGACAATAGCTTACCTCCACTGATTCCAGGTTGTGAAAACTGAGTAATCCTTGGGGATCCTTATTCCACACATGCTTCAATCTTGCTAGATCAGCAATAATCAATTTTCTCAACTTGGTGTCAATCACATCTTGTGTTTGTTTGACATTGAACTTGTCAATTTCAAATATCCCTTCTAGCGAGCCACATTGATTTATAATTAACTCCTCTAAGGATTTCCAGATTCTTCCCTCTATATCAGCAGATGGAAAAACAACTGATAGCTTTTCACAATTTACAATTGTTAATGATTTTAGTCTGCAAAAAGAATCTGCATATAGTTTGCTGTGCCATATGATCTCCAAGTTTTTCAAGTGGGTGATAGTCATCCATTCCAAGTTGGGAAAAGCAACCTACATAATGAATGAATGCATCATGCCATTGACAGTGAAAGGAGGATAAGGACAATTATTAGTCCCTAAAATTAAAGCCGAAATGAAAATGAAATGCAATTTTTGGTAAGAAACTATTATATATATTGTTTGGGGTGATTTATTCTGATATAATGACAATCCTGGTTTAGCTTAAAGTAATTTTTGTCAACAGAAATATATTTCTTGAACTGTTCGCACCTTTAATCTTTAACTTTGTCAGCAATGAGTGGGTAATTTGTCATTTACCTTTATGCAAAACTTTAAAGCTGCTTAAATTTAGAACAAAAAGTCTTCATTAAGAAACTAATTACCTTGCTGCTGAAAAAGGCTTGAGGGTTCTCCTTCTCTAGCTCTCTAGGGAATGTCGAAACAAATGTAGTCATTTTTGGACAGTTAAGTACTTCAACTCTTGTTAAGACTGCACACTGGAATGTGCAACTTCCCACACAGAAACTTGTCAAGTCTGAACAAGACTCCAGAATAATCAGGCTCAAGCAAGGGAGTATTATCTTATTTTCTGTTATCAGATTTTCTGTTCCTTCTTCCATTATCACTGCATCCATTCTTGTGCAGTGTTTTACCTCCAAATGATAAAGTTGCACAAGGCTCCTGACCATAGATGGCGTTAACAGGTATCCCAAGCTGTTGCAATTACAAATATCGAGACGAAGAAGGTATCTAAAATCTAGGATTGGAAGACTCCTAGTCTGCCAATTTTGAATCAGTTCAGGAAACTCGGAGAGACTCAAATTCATCAAACAAATAAATCCAACCTGCCAAGTCCAAGAAATTAATTGCTAATTATAACACAAGAAACTATTAGTAAATTAACAAAGAAAAAGAACAAAAAGAAAACAGAATAGGTGACTTCAAGCTTGCATTTGATAAATTTTTATGGATCAATTCATACCTTTGCCGTATACATTCTTTGTATGGTGGCATTAAGGTCACCTTCCAAATTCCACAATTTTCGTCCCTGCACTTGCAGCAGCCGTGGTGTTATTGGGTCTGTCTTAGAGAAGATCTCCAATTTAGGGCACTGTTCCACAATTAGTTGCTCCAGATATGGGAAATCGAAGATGAATTTCCCAGAACAGAAGCATGCTAATCTTATCAAACATTCAAGTTTCAAATATCTCAAACTGCTGAAAATGATAGGATCTTGTGTCAAATCTTCTTGGCTTCCAACTATTTCCCTCAGCTTAAGGCAATGGCTTACCGTCATACTCTTTACATTCACCAGGCTTTGGACTGTTGCAACTGAAACCAAGTTTTCCATTTTATTGCAACACCATACCTCTAAAGTTGTGAGATTCTTGAATGATACCGTAGACGTCGATAAACTGATCAAATCATCACCCCGAATTACTTTAAGTGTTTCAAGATTTGGAAGAACACTTGACGAGTCTCCTCTCCAAACTTGCCTAAGATTAGTAATGTATTCCAGCTTTAATGTTTTAATCCTTGAGAGTTGGGTCTCAAAGTGTTTCTGCTCCTCTTCTTCTTCAACCTTTCCATGTCCATGTGCGGGGAATAACTCTTCGAGAGAACAATATGTTAAAACAAGTTTTTCCAAATTGTAGAATCTCCGAAGGATGCTGATTGGAAAAATAGCTGATTCACCACCAATGCCAAGAGAAATTCGAAGGACTTTAACATTGAAAAAGAAGTCTTGTTTAAATCGGGATTTTCTTATCGTATTGATGTCACCTTTTGATAAGGATAATCTCTCCAATTGAGGAATGATCTGGAAAGGAAACCAATTTAACCAAAAAAAAAAAAACAAAAATCAGAAGATCATTAACTGCACTTAACGGCATCTCATAATAACTACTGTTAATGGGCCTGTTTTCTAGAGAAGGTTGGGGAAAGAGATGGAGTTGACTATTGAGAGCGGACATGGCTTGTTCAAGTTAGTGGTGAGCTGGGCCCTTCGGTTCGTCAATACCAACTGCAACTGGGTTGTAAAAGTGAGAAGAAGGATAGGGTGGATAAGGCTCATTGGGCTGATTGTGGACCTCTTTGAAAACATCAGGCCCGGGGACAAAGAGAAAGTTGAGTTTTTTTTTTTTTTTTTGGGCTTTAGAATAAGGATGAGCTTTACTTAAATGAGATAGGGTTTCCCATGGGCCCTGCGGAGTCTCGCAGGTACGGCTGTAAGGGGCACGTAAACATCCGTTTTCTTTTGGGAAGAAAAATCAAACCAATTTTAGGTTAGGTTAGGCTAGGTTTGAGGGGAGAGGAGAGAGGAAGACAACTTCTAATTTCCTATATCTATTTATCAAAAAAATAGACGGGGAGGGGAGGGGGAGAATTCCTTTACTTTGAAAGCATGAAGGATGCATAGATCTGGCAAACGGGCGGGTTGGGTCGGGTTAGGGTCGGATCAGAACGGGTAACGGGTCAAAACGGGTTGGGTTAAAACGGGTCACGGGTCAATGAAAGCAGACCCTAACCCGCCCATCATGGGTCACGGGTCAACCCGCGGGTTGACCCAATTAAATTTGTTTTCTTTTTTTTTTTTCTATAATTTGTACCTATTAT